GTCGCACGCGGCCACCTCGGTGCGTGTGAATTTACGTTGTGGCTGCAATGAATAACACAAAACGCTTTATTACAGTAATGTTTTCCGTATTAGCTCGTTTTAGGATAATAATACACAGCGCCCCCGGTTTTCGTATGAGGTTGCATGAATTCGCACCTGCGCCCACACGCTTTGACTGCGGCCGCCCCTTGGCGCAATAATGGAGAGACTAGTGAGGCAGGCATGCACAGTTACATGTGTAAACAAAACAGTTGAAATAAAGAAGATTGAAATGCGCTTTCATAGTACAGTACATCATTTAAAACAGCGAAGTGTACCAAATTCGCGAACTTCCTTCAATCTTCTTAGAGCCACCATTCATTATCGATTTCTCTGGACTTCTATAATGATAGCAATTTACTTTATTTCAGACAAATATCTATATTGTGTTAAGTAATCCTTACAAACTATATTAGTAAAACTCACAAACAGTAAATTACATTACGAACTATCTAAGGAGCGTTCTAACACACTCGACATGTGCAACTACCCAATGACACAATATTGGCCCATCTTCGCTTTCGGCCACAGGCCGAAGGAGGCCGTTGGCGCTGCCTCGCGCCCTACGCGTCAGAGACGCTACTCTCTTTTGCGGTATGGCGCTTAAGCCGTCCCCGCGCGTCTTAGAGAATATACCCGAGCCATGCTGTTGGGGTTGCTACGGTAGCAACCTAAGAGCGTCATTACACTGAACCGCAGGGCGTGATAAGCTTTCTATGTGTACTTGACCCGCAGGCTGCACGTGTAAAACGGTTGACAAAACGCTTTAAAAAGCGTGAGCTTCACGGTTCAAAAATAAAGGGTATTTCAATTCAGGATATTAATCACATATTTTTATTTTTTTATTGGTTTAACACTTGCCCGTTCCATGTACGCGCTGTACGCTGATGACAGCAATGCATTTTGTGGCACTGCTGGTCCGCTAGTGAATATACCCTTCCAGCAACGCCACCAATATCGCCTGCATGGCATCCAAACCAAAGTTGGTGCTATAAGAACTAGATCGAAAAGAATACTAATACATTTGCGACCTAGTCTTTACGAAACCAACGTACACTTGGAATTTCCTACAAACACCCGCGCTTTAAAGTACAATGTATGCAAACGCTACAAACGCTGATACCACCTACATCTTTGGACTTATCCGGGAACAAGAGGATGTCCTTGGCAAAGTTGGAGGTCTTCGTCGGGATGTCCTGGGGCTTGGACACCCACTCTTTAGCACACTCTTCCAGGACGTTGCCGGTAATTGTCGTGACAAAAGTTAATTTGTTTAAAAGAAGATCCTAAACTTTATTTCAGTGCACAACTTCAAAACTCCGTTTTTACCTTATCCTACAGCTTTGTTTACTTTTTTCTAGAAGTGAAACTCATTTACTAAATTGTCGCTTGTCGTCTCATCTACTTTTCGCAAACATAAACAAGTGATTTGAAATCGCCAAATAATAAAAATTAAAGGTTGACTTAAATCCATTAGCCACTAAGAGTAAAAAAATCTGTAGGCGCCATTTTGTCAAAACTATGATCATATTTTGGCTGACATGTTATTACTTATCACCATCCATCTATGAAAATGTAATTTAATTAAGAATATAATAGCATTTTTTAAATATTGCACTTGTTTTGTTTCTCTGACGGCGACGTAGACATATTATTTAAGTATTTATTTTGCTTTTGTTGTTCCAGGTTGACAGCGACAAAGACAATTCTACGGTTTCTGACAATTTTAAAGATTCGGTGAAATCACGCATTGTGTAATGTGATCGAAAATAAAATTTCACAATAAATCCTTTGCAAATCAACGATATTATTTTATTAACAAAAACACATTTTAATGCGGATTTTGAAACGGATTTCATTGAGAGATAGGTGGTTGAAATTACGCAAACGGCAGATAAGGTATCTTCACAGCCGATTATCCTTGTACGTGATTGAAGAGAGTTTAAATATTTCATTTTAAGCCGGGTACTCATTCGCAAGTTATAACTGTAACGTACAGATACAGTAATGAGGTTCTAGTGTGTACGCGTGAAACAGCATTCCCTCGCTAGATAGAGTAACAGGTTATCGTCGGCTCACTGCGAACCGCACGCGCTCGCGGGCTACGTACACGCTATGATTTTTGGTGAACTGTAACCGTTGCATGTTATGTAACTAAAAATCATAGTGTGATTCGCGTGCGGTTCGCAGTGAGCCGTCTAATTAAAGACTGTTTCAAGCGTACACACTAGAACCTCGTTACTGTATCTGCACGTTACAGTTACAGCTCGCTAGTGAGTACCCGACTTTAAGTGTACGTGGATAAAGTTCCTTACAGATTTCCTGGCGACTTACATAATAATAAGTAGTAATAATAAGCCACATCAATCACTTGGTCTCCAACAAGGATAGGAGGATTCCTTGCAATCATTCCAGGGAAAACCAGGATACCCAGGCCCGAATCAATTAGGAAAAGTTTATTTTTTAACTTTGTTACATCGGGAAACGAATCCGAGACCGCTGAGTGGGTATCAGATCGATAAATCGCAGCTATTTCCCGATCAAACACAGATTTATAAATTACCGCTCGTTTATCAACGCTTATCAATTACTTATCAATAAATCTTTCAGTCCGAAGCGCGTGCGCGTGCAGTCTGCTGGTGTTGACACTTAGAAGGTGAGGTTTTTAATTTTGTCGAAACATTTTGTTAAATACATAGAGTTAAAAACATATTTAGGTTTTGTAACTATCTAGCTTTTATCATCTTGGTGTTGGTGGATAGTAGTAGAAATGCCCACATAGTAGGAATGCTAATAATTTTTGTTAACATTGTTCGATAGTCATTGATTTAGCGTGGGGTTTTAGTGTTTTCATTTCTCCGAATTTCCCTACAGGTATGTTCATTTGATTTAGTATAAATATTCATAAAATTATTTCACCAATGCAAACGGTGTGTCGGAGTTTTGTTGGCATCGGACAATTGTGAATTGTTTAGAAGTTGTCAACACTAGACGCAATCTAAAATATTTACTTTAAATCGATAGACAATCAAAAATATTTCACCTAATAAAAAGATAATAATTTAGCGCTTTGCTACTTCATAAAATACGAGTTAAGCGTGAATATAAAAAACGTCTTTTATCTGAACAGATGTCTCGCTAGTGAATATTTAGGTAAATGATTTAGTATTTCCTTAAATGATGGGTTTGATAGGTATCAAACCTAAAAATCTTAATTACTGAATAAACATTAGACCATATTTGGTGGCTATAGTTGTCAATTAATATTTTATTTGTAACAATAACTTACATGATTATTTATATTACTTACTTACGTTACTTGCATTACTTACACTACTTACATTATTTTGCTTTACAGTTTTACATGATACATACTAGTTTAGAGTTAGATATAACTAACTAACTTTGCTAGTATTTGCGTGTGGTGCACTTTGGTGGGTTGCAATCGCTCGCCATTTATTGATACTGGCAGAAAACCAGCTCTGATTGACTTTTCACGGTCTTCAGTATTTATGCTGTAGTCATACATAAAATTTTATTAATTGTCGCAGTATTTGTTTGTTTGTTTCTCTCAGCGTGTTTGTAATTACAAATCAGTGTGTGTTTTATATAAATGTGTATTAAGTTAATAATGTATGTTATATGTGATTTTGTGTTATACTTTGTGAAGTGATTGTAAATGTTTGTTTCTTTTTGTATTTGTGCTGAATAAACGTGTTATCTATCTATCTACTAGAGAGAGAGATAGAGAGAGACAATTAACCAAACACAATGACGGTTATTCTGTGTATAAAAGACCCCGTACCTTAGCGCCTCAGCAGGTCCGCTAATCCAAAGTAGGCAGGTTATTCTCCTTAAGTGAAGTTAAAGAATTTCTACGGGTTCTTAAAAGCATCTCATCTTCGCTGTGGTCATCATCATTAATGGACTAACAGGACTATGGTGTTTGGTTCAATTCGAAAATTGGAAATACTTTTGAATTCTATCAAACTTATGACGAATTCACAGTCCCTTGTGAGTTCAACTCCTACGGTGCTTTACATCGACGGAACACGCCCTGAGGAAACGTGTCTTTCACCAACTATCTTGAAGACGCGTGCAGTCAAAGTAATCAAGATTGAAGAGTCATTTTTTCTTTCAGCATAGCTGAGATGAACCGGTACAAACGCGCGGAGGTGGCCAAACACAACGGGAAGAAGAACACCCAGTTGTGGATCGTTGTGAAAGACATCGTTTATGACGTCAGCACTCACATTACCGAGGTAATGAAACATTGTCCGGGTCGTTAACATTATCAGCGCCATAATTAATGTCATATACGTCTTTGTTGAGAGTTTTACTTTAAATCTATTTTGATCTCAAAATCTTAAAACGGATCAGAATTAACAGCTCCGATGAGATGGTTCCTCAAGTAAAACAATCGCTCAATCGCATATTAAATTTCAGTCTTATTTCACAAGCATTTTTTGCCTATCACAATAATCGTATCAAATGTTTCACACCTTTAAAACATAATTGTTTTATAGAAGCTAGTTTAACTTGGTTACACGGTTGCTAGGCCATTTCCGTGGACAATTTTTAAGCATATTTCAACAGAAACACGTTTTCTACATTACATATATATTTTAATGGTTCAGTTTTAGAATCATGAAGTTGTAGTTATATCTTCGAATGAAGCTTATGTACTCATTTAGTGTCGTGACAGTGCAAGATCAGTTACATTATTAAGTAAACGGTAATTATCATTTAATTCGATAAACTGAGCCACACGGTGAAATACATAAATCGGTTTAAGATAAAATTATATTATTTTATCAATAATTTTTATACCCGAGACGGTGATTTAAAATAAAATGAAATATGAGTATAACTCGATAAGTGACAAATAATCCTAATTCCGGTATATAATTATTTCGATAATGCATATTCTAAAGAATCCTCTACTGAAATGTGCACTCTGTGTCATATTTAAGCAGAGGAAAATCATCCTCCATAAGTATATAATAATTTACTTTGAAATTAACGTGGACTATGCTGTAAATTTTCGTGGGCACTGAAATTTTGAAGTTGAATTCCGCGGACCCACTGGATTTTAATTTTCCATATATTAATATGTAACTATGTACTACTGTTTCTTTCTACTACTATTTTCTGCTTTCATTTCAATAATATATTCGTTTCATTGACAAACAGTAAATAAAATTTGCTACAAAAATGGGTTGATAATGTTTTTCCGTCTGAAAGTGGGAGCCTTCAAAAGGCGCCATTTCTGTCCGTCATATCGCTTATAATCATAAGCGAAACGAAAATTGATTAACCTTTGGTATTGAGTTTCTGTTAGGCTGATCCAGATTATATTTTAAAGATCTTTTGTAGGTTTGTAATATTTGAATATTTCACGATTAATGTACTCAACATTGATATAAGTAACTATCTCACAGCGATATCTTTTCTAGCATATCGGCGGCGAGGACCCGCTTCTGGAAGTCGGGGGTACGGACGCGACAAAAGACTTCGCGCACCACTCCAGCGCCGCCTACGCAAAGCTCGCTCAGTACAAGATCGGAGAAATTGTAGAGGTAACCTTAAAAACAATCCTAATAAGAGTTGTGAAGAAAAATTGTGCTTTTACACGTTTTCAAATGCGAGGCCAAATTTGAAATGCCGTCGATCAGTGAGCTTTTGCACCTACCGACTTCAGGACATGATGTCATTTCACCTGCGGAAGTTGATTTATTTATTATAACTGCCAGATTATAATGTATTGACTAGATATGTAGATAAAAAACTATATTCACTTCCATGGCAATTTATTTACTAAGATCGACTAAAACGAACACTATATTATTATTAAATCACTTAAAAAATAATAACAAACTTTAATAACAGAAGGTTGTGTTTTGTGTTTGTTATGTGTGTGTCCGTGTGTGTATGTACGTATGTGGGCTTAAATCACAATTTTGCGTTACAAGACAGCTAATAACAAGATAGTAACTAAATTTTATAACGAATGTGTTTATATTGAGACTAGGTTAAATAACTAGCATTTGTATCGGTGTTAGTGTGTGTATTACTTAATAACATACCTGACCTTGAATGTCGCCACACACAGATCTCACAATTACAGTTAACATAAACGTGGATACGATTACAATTGTTAGTGTTTTTTTACATATTTTCATGCACTACATAGGTACTATTGCATATTCACGTTATTTAATGACGTTATAATAATAACCTTTTGCTTTGTACAAAATCTTACTCTCGACTTCTGCGTAGCTTGGTTACTCACTCAACAACAAAATCATCCAGATGTGACATCAGTCAGTACATCAACTGCGGGCCTTTTACGTGCCTAGTCATTTGCCGTAGAACAGACGCGAACAATTTTCCTTACACGAGTGATTACATTAGGCCGACTGGACAGTAAGCAGCGAGTAAGTAATTGGCGTCGTAAGCAGCAGCTACAGGCGATCGGTCAGGCGTCATCTGCCCGAGGAGACAATTTATTTGCTGACACGTTCCAGACAATCTTTAAAATATACAGAGTTCTGCGAAGATTAACCTTATCATAAAATTACTTTATCAGATTCGACCAACTTAATGCGACAAATGTTTATTTAAAGAACGATACAAAGGATTGTAATAATAATGGATGGATAGGGATGTAATACCAGCAGTAGATCTCCTTGTGAAAGAATTTGTCCACGGAATAACTGCAGCCAAGTATTATGGTGAACGTTCCGGCTTCGAAGGGTGCTCAGATCTAGCAATTTAAAGCTCTGGGTGGCACTGTAACTGTCATGGATACGCGTTTCGCTTACCACCTGGTGTACGATTTGTTTGTCCCGTCCCTTAATATCATAAAAGAAAGTAAAAATATTGCATTGAATTTTTTTATATAACGTCGGTTACAAGGTAAAATATAAGTGATTGTTTGACCTCTATCTCACCTGTTGGAAATACGATGAGGTCGACGATGGGGCATGCTCACCTATAAGCAATTGGGTCCCTGCGCAAAGTCAAAGTTAAATAACCATTTATTCCATAGGTAAAATTTTTATATTCCAAACGTCATTTCTTAAGCTCTAGGGATTGCTCCTTTCAAATAAACTAAAATGCTGTGGAATACAATTTGAATCATATTTATGTGGAATCTAGACTCATGTTGTCTTACCATACATCTTTAACTAACTCGAAGTCTTAAATTTTGTAACATGGCTTTATAAGTTTTAAACTTGGAAGACGATAATCTTATTATATGCTCCGTATTCTTATTGTAAAAACGTACACTGTTCCCCGCATAAGAATCGATTACCTTTGTTAAACGAAATCGTGCTATCATGAGCTTAGATTAAAGCGCTAAAATCCAAACTCATGATAGCACGATTTCGTTTCGCTGCTTGTCAAGACTCACTCTCAACATTTCTGAATACGTGGCGAAATAATTCAACGATAAACTCGAGTTAAAATTATGAACCAATTGTACCAACCTCGCTGCCATGAAATAATTTATACGAATAACTGCTTCGACATGTGCATCAAGATGTTTAATAATTTACCAAATGACGTTAAATTACTACAAGGACTTACTTAAACTATAATTGACAAGATGGCTTTTGCACATTGCTTCTATAGTAACAAAGAATATTTCTAATTTACAAATAGCAACTAACAGTATATTAAAATGCAATTAAGTGTACACAAGACACAATAAATTCCATTACATTTGCACACGTGCTTGCAGTTTGAATACATTGTACCGAATTCCTTGCACGGGATCGTGGGGAAAAGCACAGAAACTTGGAGGCTTATACCCAGCAGTGGGTGAAGTCAGACTGTATATGATGATGATGATGATGAAATTAATTTAAGATCTGCATTCTATTCTATTCTATTCCAATAGTCATGATACCAGTCTCCTTAAATAGCGTAGTGCTACAAATTACCCCCATTCAGTATTTTTAATAGAAAATACATCAACCAATAGTTGTACAGACATTAAATGTATAGACGCCAATAAATTAGTTATGAATTACTTTATTGGTTAATGTGTATCTAATGGATAGGTTACAAACTCTTGGCGTTCTAATAACTGTTTATAGAAATTCGGTTTAATTCGGTTGTTTTTCAGGCAGAGAAGTACTACGACGCCAACGGCAAGCTGAAAGACGGTGCACAGGCCGGTAGAGGCTGCACGCGTATCGTCACCTGCGGCCTGATCGGATGACCAGTCTCAAAAGAACCTCCCTCATTACCACATCTTATAAGTTCCATAGCTGCTCTTGGTGAAGTGCAAATACTAATACTAGTGAGTCTCTTATGTTTATTAAAGAAGGTAGGTCTACCTAAGCGATGACCGTATCTCGCGTGTAAGTATTTGATGTGAAATTTCTAGAATAACGGTTTACTCATAAAGGTGGTTTGTACTAAGTTGTACAACAAGCGTATTCAGTTTTGGATTTGTTGGATTATATTATAAATAAGTACATATTTATAATATTATTTGTAAACCAGCAACGACTCGCTCCCAAATTTTTTATAAAAGTAAAAAAAAGAAAACATGAACATGGTGGCGCTACACAAACCTGTGTACGTTTCCCCATATACCGCAAAAATATACAAATTATAATGTCAGTGGATTGTAAATTAATAAAATAAATATTTTCATTTCTATTTTGTTTTTTATTGAAGGAAACTAAAGTGTCTCCGTAACATGGCATCGCTTTTCCATAACTTCGCAACTCTTTGTACTCGACTACAAATCCAAAAGAAATATTTTTAAAGCGACCAGTCGGTGCACCATTTCAGCGTTGCTCGGATCGTTGCTAACAGAAATATCAACAATAAAACGTTCCATTAAGACTGTAGTAATGCCATACGCTGAAAGGGAACAGCTGCGATGGCGGAGGCCGAGTGCGCAGGGCGGCTCCCTGATGCAATATCGACACATTAGAGTGCAGTGCCCGGCCGCCAACTGGCCGTGCGGTCGGGTTACTCGGGGATTTCCATTAGTTTGTTGTGTCGGGATTAGATTTTCTGCTCAATAACCCTTCCGTTTATTAAATGAGCTTAAACAATGACTTTTAAAATATTGTAAACCTAGCTTCAACCTCGAATCAATTCGGAACAAGTAACTTACAAAAATAACCAGGAAGACAATTTGGCACCACTGCGTTAATTGGACATTAGGGCTCGCTCGTCTGTTCTTTAAATAAAAAAATAAAAAATCGTTAATTATGTATTGTTGAAGGGGCGCAGGTGTTAGAAGGCGGCGGTGGACTTTATTCCTTCCGTTCTGAGGGGTTTACCCATAAAACCAATAAAAATAATTTGGAAAAATATTAGTGATACTCTCATTTAACTCCTGTGCAGCTGCGAATTGGCATTGGCCATCAAAATAAGTCGTTGATAAAACGTTGTTGGCGGTGAATGATTAAAAAATAATTACGTAGCAAACGGTTCTTAACACACTGCAAACTGTGGGCATAGCCTAACGTGAAAGGAGGTTGGAGAATGCCTTTCCCAAAGATATCGTCGCCTTTGACTGAAAACCGGTATGCGTTTTCACATGAACAATGTAAACTTGTTCTTGCTCAAATATATTATCAAAGTAATATAGTATCAGACAGAGGTATAGTATTTGACTAATTAAAATGTTAAATAAAAGCACTATTGTGTTTACTTCATTTTACGCCACATTTTTATCTTCGTCTTGAAAAATTACATAAACATCACGTACAAGGTATTCACTCTAAGACGAATATATATATATATATATACACACACATATACACTAGCGCCCGTAGCATGGCTACGCATGATTGTCGCAACGCTCGCGATAAAATAGAAATAAGCGCGCGCTATTGGCTATCTAAATTAGATCTGATTGAGACAGCCTAGCGCGCACTTATTTCAATTTCATCGCGCGCGCCGCGACTATCATGCGTAGCCATGCTACGAGCAGATCTTTTTGCTTCTACTTACGATGAGGAGTTACTACAAATACACATTTACGAATGTATATTTGTCTCACTAAACATACTATTTCAGTCGACACTGAACTATATCATGTGTGTTTTCCGAAACTAATGGAGAACAACGTCTTATAACAATGGAGTGCGCTTTTCAGAACAGTCTGTGCTGAAGACTTGTACTCTCTAGGAAAGCGGGGAACATTGGGATAAAGGTCTGCTCTTACCAAAGAATATTTACGTACAACATCTACATGAAAATTCGCCTCGTATTAGGCAAAACAATGTTCATCCAACGAAAATGTAAAGTCACATGGGCAGGTACATACTGTATTATTCAGGGATATTCTAAAAGCAAAGTAATGAAAACAAACTGATGTTCAGGACAAAGGTTTTGACAAATCAGTAACGTATCGATCTTATTGATAACGAAATATGTAGATAAATGGTGCACAATCAACGTCATCTCAAGGACTGTTGACTATCCGCCGCCATTGATTCAACAATTACATCTAAACTAAATTAAAGTGCGTACCGTTTTCGCCACAGCTGCACTTTATTCAAAGAACTTTTAAATGTGTCGCTAGCAAAAAAAAATCCATAAAAGTGATAATGTATTATTCTAATATTCATGTGAACCGTGCTGGTGCATAATCAACTGAATTTTTTTCAGTTTTAGTTCAGCTCGATATTACATTCGAAGCGGCTCTCACTATGTAGAGGCAAGCGCGCGTGAAACTTGACACATTCATTTAGATTCAACTTTGTACCGCATGTCATAAGAAAAGTGCGTACTTAGAGGCTCTTGGGGTACAAAATTCAGTGTCGTATTTAAATAACTAATGCGCATGTAAACAATAAGATTAGTAGTTTTTTAAAATGCTGCTCTTAACGCCACCTGTCGAGTAATTACGCGACTAAGCATTTTGGGGATAGCGTGTTCAACATTTAACGTTTTAATTCTTCATTAACCTGGTAGATGGCGCTATCAGGTACACACATTTTTTTAGTTTGTCTTATCTTAAATATCAATCGTATGTCATTGTATTTTATGTAGTATAATAAAATTCAAAATAGCAATGCAAAATAGTTTTGTTGTTGTTGTCCTAAGGTACAGGGTCTACCTAGTTTGGACTATAGGTGTAGATATCATTTTTTGTGCACTAGTCTCCCGCTATCTTCACTTGTATATACGTTTTGATTGTTTATGAATGGGAGAGAATAAATGATCATTATTATTACTACGTATCCGTAACTAAGCATGGTCAAGGGCAAATGATTATTTTTATCAAACAACGACTAATTCCTCATAATAAAACAATACCACAATACCTGATATAGGCTATTATATTTTTACTAATTGTCGATACGGAGCTAGCTTCAATATTCAGCAAGTCCACACCAGGAGTTGAAAAGTAGACTTACTTAATAATATATATACAGTTGATATAATTAATAAAACGGAAATATGAATAAAAAAGAATTTATTTATGTTCGGACTTGGATTCAGTGGTCGACTAGTCTGATCGTCGTGGGCTGGGTTCTAAATCCAGGAAAGAGTATTTTAATCGATTCAGGCATATATAAACAAATCAAGTTAATTAAGGCCATGATAAGTATAATATTAAGGCAAGTTTAATTCCAAGGAAGGATTGTGTTCACAATGTCGATCATTTCATGGATGAAGAGCTTAGATTCGATGAACGTGTTCTTCTGAAAATAAACTGTTGTGTTGTCGCTCTTGAGTCCCTATATAATTTGGTATTTTACTACTTTTTACTGCACAATTTTGTATGTAACTTTCTATTATGTTTTAATTTTTGTTTCGGTCTATCTTATTGTAATATACGTAATGTTATAATGACAGTATTAAGAAAGATAGCGGTCACTCTGAAATTGTTTCGCATCAAGTAACTTTTTTAATGGCATGCAAACAACTACCTGATATCTGATTGGTTTAGCAAGGTGTCGCCAGCGTTCTGCTTTAACAAAATATTATTTAGTTTTGCTTAACGTGCTAAATGTACTGCACGTGAAATTCATAGTTGAAACTCGTATTTAGTAGTGAGGTAAGGTACATGACATTTTTCCTAATGCAGATGTCATCTTGAGCTACTAATTAAGAATAGTGTAGTAAAATACATGATTTTATTGTTGTAATTTCAGTGGCGTCATTATGTTACAGAAATGCCACCAATATTATTAGTACAAATGTGGCTAAATGAGAAGTTGTATTAATAACGCTGTTCTTCCTCACGTTGCTCTCTCCTGATTTGAGCACTAAGCAATTTTGAACAACAGTGGCAGTACCTGGTGGCACAGAAAGTTGGTTCTTTTGAGGGATATTAAAGCAACGTCAACAACAGTTCCTTCACTAGATGAAGAATTATGTCATAGTATTATAATAATAAAAAAATAAAAAGAATTAAGTGTTCATCACAGTATTCTCGTGTAATATTAAAGTAAAATTTATCAAATGCAGCAGGCACTTATTGATGTTTTTGTACCAGAATCGCGGATTGGTATCTTGATAATGGGAGTATGATTAAGAAATAGAAATGAAATGCTGAATTTGTGTCACTCTTTTTCAAACTACCATAAACATAAGGCGCGACGCTTTCTAAAACATCGAGAAAATGCTTCAATTCCACAACGAACGGCGTCTGCAAAATATGCGAATGTGTGCGTCCGTACGCGGCGTGCGGCGGTCGTGCACACATGCAAGCCAAGAACTGCCTCCGTGGCCGAACGGTCACCATGCCGGACTGCCAAACAGAGGTCCCAGGTTCGATTCCCGGGCCGGGAGAAGTATTGTATGGCCTACAGTTATTTCTCTCGTGAGTTTGGGTGTAATTTGTGGTTGTCTATGTGTGTGTCCATGGCACCCGCGACACAGGGCTTCCCTAGTGCGGGGCTATGTTGAGTGTGTGAGTTATTATTAAGCCGCGCTGCTACATTTGTATAAATAATAAATAAAAGAGATTTGTATGGAGTTACTCTAGTCAAGTCGTATTAAACTACGATTATGCCAAGAGAGAAGCACGCTCGCGCTGACACCACGAGTACATCTCTCATTACGAACCGAAAATTCTGAATGTTAAGATCCCCACCTTATTCAACTAGACGAGACTCTCAGGTGACAACTAATTCAGAGCGCTACATTGATTGTCAGCTGAAAGTCACCCATAGAATAGATTAGAATAGAAATAATTTATTCCTTGAACAATCAACACAGCACACATGCATTTTATAATAATACTATGATTATCATAGTAATAATAACATAAGGATTTGAAACTAAATAAATATAATATATAGAGTACCTACAAAGCGCGTGTACAAACCTGTGACTCGTGACCCACTCAGGTTGTTGCCGTCTCACGTTCAAGTGCTACGACGCTGATTTTCAGCGGGTCCGGCAACAAAACACACGTGACACAGAACATTGTAGCCAACACTAAATACATTGAATGACGCAAGCACATAATTATATTAATTTAAACACAAAACATGAACAGTCTATCCATTAAGATACAATTAATGTAGTTACCGTTTAATAGGTACCTTGTCATGCGCAACAATTGTAATTTACAATACCATTGATTTCAAATTAATATGATAAAATAGTAACATGTATATATTGAATTTGGTAAAATGATAAAATAAGGTTTAATTAATTAATTGAAAATTTTGATTACAACTAAATAGACGAACAATATTAAATTAAAACGCATAAGTATGTCCCAGACACGTCAACAGCTACGATGGATATTTTTGAAGATTTGAGCAATTTTTTTTAATACAAACAACGATGAATACAAACATATAAATTTGTGTATCATATACTGTGGATGTAGGTGCAACTATGGCGACCTTGACATTATTCGAAAAGATCGGGACCATACAAATATGGTATAGGTCAGCACCGGATCCACATCAAATACATACTATTCCTTTTTTAAACCCATTTTTTGCCAAATTACTTACTAGCTATAAAAATTAACATATAAACCATAAATGTATCGTATTGTGCAAACGTTTCGGTTATGTTACGAGAAAAAGATATGCCACCGAAACGAAATGATGAAAAAGCGACGTCACTCACTTTATATTATACCCTACTTATTATAAACCAATATAACAGCGCGAAGCTACTAATGTCTTATCCACGGACACTTTAACTCTTTTATTTTGTAGTTGATACAACATCGTCACTCGCTGGAATTCACGCGGTGACGTGTCGTGATGACATAAGAGATGATAAGAGATACGCAAAAAACCGCTTATTTTTCTATACTTATCAATTAGTTATCAATAGATCTTTCAGCCAGAAATACGCGCACGTGTAGCCCGTTAGCAGAGATACGGTCCGCAGGTTAGATACTTTAATATTTTTATTTCGATACCTTTTCTCCGAAAAACATATACTTATTACATATTTTGTCTTTCTATTTATATATTTTGTCCTTCTACATAGGGCGCACTATAAGTTTCCGGAACTGGCCACTTACATAAACAATATTTAAAAAGTAATTACAACATTTGAAAATAGAACTCTTTGGGTGTAGAACACAGTTCGTTTCATCTGACTGTCTCTTGTTTTTACATTATGGCGTCATTTCAGAAATTGGTTGTCTACATCACCATGGATTTAACTCGTGAAAATTTTCGTAGTATGATTTTCTACCACTTTAAGTGTAATTTAACAGCTCAGCGGAGCTTCGCTCGGCTTCAAAATGCTTTTGGCGATGAAGCACCATACAAGACGACTATTTATAGCTGGTTTGCTGAATTCAAACGCGATCATGTGAATCTCAGTGACGAATTTCGTGATGGTCGCCCGTCCACTGCTGTGAACAACAAAAACATCGATGCTGTGCGCCGTATGATCAAAACAGACAGGCATGTGACATATCTACCTTGAGATTCGGGCATCTTTACGCATGAGTCAAATATAATCAATACTACACAAACATTTGGGTGTGAAAAAGCTGTGTTCTGGGTGGATCTCACACAATTTGACGGAGGCTCAAAAAACGGATTGCGTCACTTGGTGCAATGCCATGCTTACCAGATTCAACGAAGGGGCGTCAAATTTGGTGTGGGACATAGTAGCAGCTGACGAAACGTGGATTTATAGTTACGATCCCAAAACAAAGCAGCAATCGAGCATATGGGTCTTTCGAGATGAGCCGAAACCAGCTAAAGTGGCGTGCGTGCAAAGTGCCTCTAAGCTGATGATTGCTTCTTTTCTTAATAAAACTAGACATGTGGCTACTGTTGCTTTGGAGAATCGTTGTACCGTGAATAGCGATTGGTACACGACCATTTGATTGCCGGAAGTTATTGACAAATTCCGTAAAAATAACCGTGAGCACCGTATCATCTTACAATAATGCCAGTTCTCACACGGCCAGACAGACAAATGAATTTTTGAAGGTGAACAACGTTGACCTTATGAGCCATCTCGCGTACAGTCTCGACCTGGCACCTTGTGACTTTTATTTATTTTCCAAAATTAAGAACCAGTTACGCGCTCAACGATTTTCATCACCTGAAGAGGCTGTCGAAGAGTATGAAAAATATGTTTCAGTGATTGTCGCGGAGGAGTGGCATAAATGTTTTCAAAATTGGTTCATTCGTACGAAAAAGTGCATTGACGCTAACGGACAATATTTTGAGAAACAATGAATTCATTTCTGACCATTTATAGTTTCTTTTTCTTTCCGGAAACTTGTAGTGCGCCACATGTATTTTTATTTCGTGTCTTATCAAAAGACCAAATAGCAATATTCGTGACGTACCTATAACCATATCAGAATTAGAATCACACCTAAAGTTTAAATTTTGAGAAACAAACTGTTAGACTGTAACTATAATGTGATAGCGTTAGGAATTTGCGATATTTTTATTTTATTTTATTTTTTATTTCTTCATGGTAAACTATAACTATATGCAAATATAACTAAAATGGACAGTGAAGTAGGTCAATTTAGTTTACACTTATAGATATAATATAACATGTAAGTAATGTAAGCACTCTAGAGAGATTATGAAAATTAGCAATTCAAGAAGAAAAAGAAAAAATATATATATATGTTACTTTCCTAGGAATTAAACTAAAAATTGTTGAGTAACCCTCTCGCTGTGGCAACTCCAGTATCCATCAAGATCTACTTTATTGACCAGGTTATTGATATTGTTGCAAGCTCGCAGCAGAAACGAATTCTTTCTGTAATTGGTTGAGACTACAGGTACGTCAAATATTTAAAATTACGCCCGGGAGTCAAAAAGTTAAGTTTGTACAGTAGTTGAGGACAATCAATTGTATTCTGAGCTATTTTTAAAATGTGCAATTGGCTATTTGACGACACATACAAAGAGGAAGAATATGGTGGATTTTGCAAATATGCAGATAATCTTCATTATGATATTGGCGCTTAGTACAGAAACACAGATAACGAATACATAAAATTTTTTGAATGCGTTCTATGCGTGAAGTGTACACCTCGTATTGCGGTTTCCACATCTGGGAGGCGTATTCCACAATACTCCGAACAAACGTACAGTACAAGATTTTAACTGTCTTTATATCCCGAAACTCACTAGAACGACGCATCACAAACCCCAGCACACGTGATGCTTTGGTAACTATTTCATTTACGTGTGCATTAAACAAAAGTTTATTATCGAATGTGACACCCCGATCACGTGCTGTGTTTCCACGTTTAAGAACCCAGGTTCTTAAACGTGGCCAGCCGCCGAGCATATAATTAAAGACTAAGGCTAAGTTTTTGCGACTGTAGGTTACTATTGAGCATTTGGCAGGATTTAAGTCTAATTTATTAGAAATACAATATTTCTCAAGGAGGAATAAGTCATTTTGGAGAGCCTCAGCTTCAAACTTGGTTGAAGTCGTGGAATATATTTTCATGTCATCGGCAACATATAGGAGGTTACTTGAAATCAAACACGAATAAATATCATTAGTAAAAATAGTGAAGAGCAACGGTACTAGTAAAGATCCCTGAGGCACGCCGCTTGATATTTTGACCCAGCTAGAAATATAATTACTAACAACAACTGCTTCAGATCTATTGTCAATATAAGAAGCAAACCATCGGAGAAGATTGCCACGAACCCCAAGTTTGTTAATTTTTGAGAGCAGTTTATCAAAACATTTGCTGTAATCAGTATACATCACGTCAACCTGGTCCCCTGCTTCCATTGCTGCTGATATAAAGTCGCTTATCAAGACCAAATTTGGTGTCGTTGACCTGCCCCTGATGAACCCATGCTACGACTGTGACATGTTTGTTTTAATTGATTCAAACAGCTGTCTGTAGATTAACTTTTCAAAAATTTTCGAGATGATGCAAAGATGCCCCATGCCTAATGAGGCGGTAATGACTAATTTCAGTTTTAGAGCCTTTTTTACCCCCCCGGTAACATGACCACGTTTCCAAGCCGTCAGTGTTTTACAGGAGGAGAAGGAGTACTTAAATAAAATAGTTATGAGGATTGAAATCGAAGGAGCAGCTTTAATTAAAAAATACGCTGGAAGATTTCAGGTCCCGCTCCTTTGGAAACATATAATTTTGAAAGAAGCTTACACACTTCACTGGCGTCGATTTCAACGGAAGAGATGTGCGAAGAAGTAGGTTCGTCCGTGGAATGGAGATTTCTTAGTATGTTGTTGTCTTTCGGTAGAAAAGACGTGGAAAAATAATCAGAGAATGCGTTTGTAATAGATTCACCGGTATTAACAATTTTGCTTTCGTACGACAAGCTACTAGGCATTGTATTGCATTTGGACCGGGATTTAACGTGAGACCAGAAGTGTTTGGGATTGTTGGAAATTGATGACTCTGTACTATATACATATTTCTCGTAACATTCAGATTCCATGGCTACAATTCTGTCTCGTAAAATTCTGTAAGATGCTTCGTCTGACCTGTTTTCCTAGACTTTGAACTTTCTTAGATACTTATGCATTTCTTTGACTGCCCTCTTCAGGGGCTCAGAGTATCACAAAGGATACATTTTAGATGATACAGATTTAGAAGGTGTATTCTTATTTATTATATTGTTAATGTGGCTCTAAAAGAAGTCCGCAGCATTATCGATGGGTCTTGTTAACAATTCAGTATTCCAGTCAATCTCTGATATTTCTGAGTTGATGCGAATGTAGTCGCCTTTACTATAAAGCAGTTTATTGCGTTGCGTAGCCTTAAGACAATCAAGACCAATAAGCTGCATTTGTATAGTTAGAGCTTCATAAAAAGGATCGATATGAATAAGTGGGTTACTACAACGTGACACCACCACATCTTCTTCACTCAATACTAAATCGAGAATTCGGTCCCGGGAGTTTTTAACAAAAATTTTTGTTAAAATTGAGAGTATTTAATTTGTCTAAGAGAAATATTTCGTCAGAAGACGTTCCTGGACTGGGAGTCAAATACAGCTTTCCATTAACGCCTGGTTTCCACTCAATGGCACTGAGAGTGAAATCGCCCACTACTAGCTATCTGTATTGCAGACAATTCAAAAATGTACTGCATGTCAGTCTGTTTATTTTGAAATGGTTACTTTCATAAATAATCCAAAATATTTGATAACACAGTCACTAATCATCTACTGAGATTTAATTACGACGTTGATGATAGAGGAAACATTTTTGTGCGTGATTTAATTTTTGTCGTAATAATAATAACACGGGATGGCCTTGCTGTGCAATATTAGTTTTGGTTCATGGCAAAATATTACATAATGGATCAGACACTTTCTTATTCGGAGCATGTCGCCGATGTAAGTCGTAAAATCTTTGCATCACTTCATTCCCTCAAGCGCATGCAGTACTTTCTTCCTCTGTCTACCAAATTTATGCTCATACGCACTCTTCTTTTTCCTATTCTGGACTGTGGTGACGTCTCCTATCTTGATCTTTCGGAAGACCTTCTTAATAAATTGGAGCGGCTGCAAAATCAATGTATCAGATTTGTGTTTGGATTGAAAAAGTACGACCACATTTCCAAGTTTAGAGATGAGTTGAAGTTGTTGCCTATTCGTTTACGTAGAAATGCTCACATTTTATGCTTCCTCTATAAAATCCTGTTCCATCCCACTTCACCTAGCTATCTACGTGAGCGTTTTCAATACCGTTAGGCTATGGGTGACCGCCTGCGTTCTGGCACCAATTTGTCCCTCGTCCTTCCACAACACAGTTCCCAAAAATATTCGAACTCGTTCACAGTAAATGCTGTCCATATGTGGAACCTTCTCCCGGTCGAGGTCAGACAGTCGCCTTCGGTTCGGGTTTTCAAGGGTGCTCTTATGAAGTTTTGGGATTGTTCAAACTCCACATGTTAGAGCTTTGAAATATTTATTTACATTTCATATATTTATTTATAGTTTTATTTGTGCATTCATTTTATAATAGATTTTGTATGTATTAATGTATCAACATTACTTAATATATATGTATTCGTTTGTACCTTTGATTTATTAAATTTATCTGTGTATTTATTGAGTATAGTATATTCCATTTCTTTACTTATCTATTTTTAGTGCCACCCCAAAAACCAACTTTCCTCTCAGATTTTCAAAGGTTAGTTGGAAGATATCTCTTTATGGGATAAGCTTGCCTTTGTACACAAATATTTAAATTGTTTCTGAAAATTTGTAAGTTACTTTGTGGTACAATAAAGTGTTTAAATAAATAAATAAATTTTTTTCAAAAAAAACTGATTTTTTCTAATTTTTTTCTATTTATCCTCATATCATCGCTTTTTCTGAAAATATTTCGAAAAATATCTACCATTTTTCGGACAATTAATCAATACTGTTCCTTACCACCCCACGCACAGTGGGCCCCCTCCACTAAAGCGGAAGAAAGGTAAAACATGATCTTATCCAATTTATAGCAGCTATAGTCCTAAACGACAGTATTACAGAACGGATGGACGACGTAGAGGATCGTGAAGTCGATGTGACGAATATTGAAGGGTCATCTCCTACTTTCAGCATGCCCGAGGCGAAGCGGTACACGCGTGCGGAGGTGGCCAAGCACGATGGGAAGGATACTAATACAAAACTCTGGATTATTGTGAAGGATGTCGTTTATGACGTCACCAGTTACGTCGACAAGGTAATGAACCATTAGATACGAGTCTCTGTTTAAGTAAAAATGCGCTTTTGTCCTGTCTATATCGGTTTAAAATATATCGCCTGTGGTTATCCGCAAACAAGTTGTTTTATTGAGATTAAATTAGACAGAGAACAGAATTGTAGTATTTACAATAGGTGTTGGGTTTATTTGTCAGGCCCTAATTATTTAACCATATTTTCGGCAGCATCCCGGCGGCAAGGATCCGATTATGGAAAGAGGGGGCCAGGATGCGACAGACGATTTCGCTAACCACCCCTTCCGCGCCAAAGCAATGATTAATAGGTACAAGATCGGAAAAATTGTTGAGGTAACTTCTAAACTCTTCTTCATAAAGATTCAACCCCCCTGAGCTGCACGGCATCGCACCTCGCCCATACTAATATCGTTCTTCTGTACGCTACCAAATTCATGGCGAAACATGGTGCTTAAACCAATAACCAATGCTCTAAAACACAAGTGGGATTGATCAGTAAGCATTATGCACCTGACGACTGCCTGCCACTTTCTTGATGTCGTTATTCCACCTGTGGAAGCCGACATAGTATATTTTTTATATCAGCCGTTTATCTAATATATTTATTATACCGGCTTATGATAAGTTTATTGTTGGTGCGTTTCACCTATTTTTCCACACAACTAGATTATTAATCGACGTACTAGTTCGTAATAGGAATTTCCTTTTGAGCATAGCAATGCCTGCTAGAAGAAAGTGCACCCTTTTACAACCACAAATGTATAACAAATGCATAAACTTAATCTTGGTTGTATATGAACTTAAATTTAATTTTGTATATAAGTCAAAGAAAGTTTTGTATTTTTTATAAACATTTGATACTTTATTTTGCAATTAGTATTAAGTTTATTGTCTATAATGTATTATAAGTTTGTTGTAATTAACATTTTTGTACTTATTTTGTAGTGTGTGTATGAGAAAGCGTGACAGTATACTTTTAAGGACATATAGGCTTGTAAAAAATAAGTTGCAAGATATATTTAATAGTTTAGCCGAGAGTAAATTGCTAAAAATTTAGAGGCTTTCCATTGAGTATCCAATCTTTTGACAAGTATTTAACTTTAGTGAAGGCGCGCTGTGCTCTCTTCACCTTTAGGAATTTTGTATTTATAGCGCCATCCCCAATTGGGATACAGTACGCCAAGATAGACATCGCGTCATATATCTCGTTCAAAAGATTTTTTAATATATAATCTCTGATCTACAGTAATACCAAAGTATTTTGTACATTTAACTTTGTCTATTTTGAGCTATTGTTGTTTATGTTATCACATTTGGATGCATGACGTTTGAAGTTAGTTTCAACGTCAAATATCTTTATTCTGTTGAAAACGTTTATCTACTTTACATTGTTGTTTATATAAACCAATAATAGTGTAGGACCTAATACACATCCTTGAGGAACACCGTATTTTACATCCACGTGTCCACATCCTTACTGGTATACTTTGCACTAGTTTATAATAATATGCTCGATTTCTGCGTACCTAGAATAAAAACAAAATAATCGATATGTAACAACTTCGAAACTTTTGTTTACCGGATAATTTGTTTCAAAACAGACAGTGAATAGCAAGGAAGTTGGCATGTCTACCGGCAACACATCGAGCTTATAAACTGTTAGCTTTTTAATATTTGTTTCACTAAGTTTAAGTATGTGGTTTTTCAGGAAGAAAAACACTACAGTGCCAAGGGCAACAGGAAAGGCGTAACATCAGCGAGCCCTGAACAGAACAGAAGAAGCTGTACGAACGTCGTCACCTGCGGCCTGCTCGGGTGACCAGTCGCAAAAAGTACCTCCCACATTATCATATATTATAAGTTCCATATCTGCTGTTCACGTAAAGTGTAATTATTAACGCTAGTGTGTGTCTCACGTTTATTAAAGAAACTTTGAAATGGGTATATAAACATTGAACTTATCTCGCAATGAACGACCGTCGTTACAAATAATAGTTTAACCCGAAAAATTGTATGTGTTAAGTATAATATGCGTGATGTACGTATGAAGTTTTGCTCTGCTAAATCACAATATATGTTCATGAAAAGAAAGTACAGGGTGTAAGAACATTTAAAATGAAGTGGAATGAAATTAAATGAAAAAATCTATTCATGCAAAGTATAAAAGTAGGCAATGTGGTTGTTCCAAATGATTGGAATAATAAATTTAATTCTTGAAACAATAACTTACCATCGACAACAGCAGAGACCGAGTTTGTTCTCAATTTCCCTTACAATAGCCATTAGTACAAATTAATTGTAATTTTTGTTTAAATGTTACCTGATTCTTAATGACAAATTAATGCACGAGTAGTAGGGCCTTTTTAAATATATTGTTATTTTTCCAAATTGTTGCTTAAAATGTGTCCAACACATGTGTAATGTATTATACGCATACATTGTATTATTATTTGTTATTTCAAACAAACCAATATTCCGGGCTCTTTACGACTCCCAGGCGGCTGACTGATATAGTACCTATTTATAAAGTAGTTATGACTAACTTTAATATAAACCAAACTGTTCTGAACTATAGTTACGAAAATGATTATTTCTTAATCTTCTTTAGTTCTCTTCTTTTAATTTTACAATTGTACACCTAAAAAATAGTACCACTTCCAATGTGCAGCAATTCGAAAACTAAGAATTCGATATGTTTTCTCTACGTCCTCTTTTCCAAGTTCACTCGTAGATTGTTTATAGTTAACCCATATATATACGACTTTAACGTGTCGTTAATTAAGGTTATATAATATAATTAACTAGGTGCTAATTGTTTCAGTTTCTAACTATTGGAACATCATCTGTAAACATTAAACATGTATGTTTAATTATCGATAGTATACCATTTTAAATAAGAATAGTAAAGCTCCTAAGATGCTTCCTTGAGGAATACCAAACCTATTTAAACAATAATCCGAAAATTTCTTTTTCAAATTGCATTCTACACGTTGCTACCTGTTACGCCGATATAACAAACCTTCTATTAGCTTTTATGTATCTAATGCATTGACTTACAATTATATGGACGTCGGGTCCGCGCTAAAAAGTGTCCGAACTTATAGGGCGTTAAAATCGTATACAGAGCGTCATTCACGCTTTAGTCTTCGTTTGTTCGACTGACAGCGAAGCAAGCAAAATTAGACAGTACTGCGATGACATTACAATTTAAATTCAACGTTTTAGCTTTTTCATATTCCTTTACATGTCACTACGTTCAAATAGGTTGACTTGGGACATTTTTTTCGTGGTTTTTGTATTAGACCCGTCGTCCATTTATTTGTAAGTCAATGATCTAATGCCATAGTTTTAAAGTTGATAAATCTATCATGTATCTACCGCGAAATCGAAAGCTTCAGGCATTTCTAAAAATAATACTGGTGGAGCTTAAGTCACTATATCGACGATATGAATACCGCTTATGTCGTCTATATCTCTCTTATGAGGTTAAATTGTTTTAGTTTTATCATGCTAAGCTCGGTACAGTAAACCATAAATCATACTTACATAATATGTATTTTTCGAATATTTTAGTCAATATTTGGATAAAGGATAGCAGGACGGTAGTTAGTTTGCTCAAATTTGCCTCTTTTCTTATAATATCGGCTTAAATATGGTCACTTTATTAAGTCAGATTAATTCTACTCTCACTTTATAAATATTTACTTGAAATGTCAAAACAGGTTTGTCTATTATATTTTTTTTCAAATTTGTTTTATTACTTAAGGTTTTTTTTGTTAACTATGTCGTGGGTTACTAACGGTTTGATATAGAATTAATATTATTACGAATTTTTTAACGTTGTTAGAGTGTTATCTTTATGTTTGTCGATTATAAATACTTGAAAACTTATTTGATAAATAATATAATTAAGTTATAAATATAGTACTATTTTTATACATCGCTTCTACGCGCTCTCAAATATAAAGTAAGTTAATAAAATAGAGTTTTTTTTATGAAATAAACTTCTTCAAGCTTATAACTCTTTTTAATCGACTACAAAACGAAAAGAATTATTAGAATTAAATAACGCACGCACTCATAGTCCCGCACTAGGTAAACCCTGTGTCGCGGGTGCCATGTACACACACATAGACGACTACAAATTGCACCCAAACTCACGAGAGAAATAAACGTAGGCCATACAATTATTTCTCCGGGCTTCGGGAATCGAACCCGGGACCTCTGCGTGACATACCAGCATGGTAATCGGTCGGTCGCGGAGGCAGTTAAAGAAATATTTCTACAGCGAATGTTGATGTACAATTTCAACATTGCCCGGAATGTTCAACAAATTTAAAGTGAAATTTACCTTTATTTGACAGGAAAATTACTGTTGACATCGTCACATTATTAAACTTTATATTCGGAAGGTAGATTTCCCTTAGAATAATGTGTAATAAACTCAAGGGGTTGCTCTTTGTAAATAAACATTTGTACACATTTATCTTTATAATATTTATTTAAAACGTCATAAGACGAGGTTCTTTTAACTTATGAGATTTGTAAAGAGGTGAACGGATCACTACCATGGATTTTTGTGATTCTGGTATGTACAAGCTATGTGCTAATAACCTTTAGTATAAATTGTTTGTTTTAAACTTAACAAACGGCAAATTTGGGATAGCAATAGGAATCTGCTTATAAATTGTATAATTGCCTTGATTTTTTTACTTTGTGCAGACAACTGTCAAGAACAGCTAATTTATTTTTAACCGATTTCAAAAAAGGAGTTCTTCATTCGACTGTATTTTTTTGTGTGTATGTTACGGGCTTACTCCGGCATTTGTGAACTGAAAGTGGGTACCTCCGTGGGAGTCCCATTTCAATTTGAAGAAAATATTAGCAAATATAGGGGATAAATCAAGTTTATTGGATTTCAACCACTTTCCGTTAATCGTTTTCAACAAAAATTTGACAAATAGATGCAACTCCACAATGTTTGTTCGTTGTTTTCTCTGTTATTGTTATGTTATGTCTATTATTGTTTTTCATAATAGTGTAAAAGACATTTTTATAAATGTACTGTGACGCAAGTGTAAAAATGTTAATTTCTATATACTCATATCTCAAAGATATTGGGGTCCAGATTGTGAATTGCCCTAACAGCATATTTTTATAGGATTATATTAATATCGGCGGCGTCATTATCTCAAAGCAAAATGACGTTTGTCATTAAACTGTGAAAGTAGCTAAAGTAAACCAATCTTGCGACGTAGCCTGAACGCTTTCGTATTTTTTAGTCGCACTCTGTAGCCACCAGACTCAAACATAAAATGTAGAAGATCTCGACGGGCTAATTGAATCAAAGGCGATGTATAGTCTTCGGTCTTTTTGACATTTGTTAGCTTGTACAAAAAATTCGTTAAGTATGTGGCAGGGATAACATTTATGTGGTGTTAATTGATTGGTGCACAGTAGAACCTCCCGGCATTCATTACGTGCTCTTGATCAGCGATTTATTACTGCTGATTCAGTTGCGTTATATTAATAGAATAGAAAACAATTAATGCTAATAAGAACCACAGCACACATACATTTAATTGGTAATACATCTAATGAGGATTAAAATACCGATCTGGAACTTGTCTGCTGACGTATTCCATGTCGACTTCTGCTGGAGGTCACATACTCCGTAATGTATACGTAGATGGTATTAGCAAAACGATTCCAAAAATGTTGCTTGAGTTTTTCAACCCTTTGGAAATTCAGAAGACAGAAGCTAGCGTCTAATATGGGAATGACAGGGTGAGAGGAGAAGAATCAGTAGATAAGTGTGTTAGGGGTCTGGATTTAAAAATACCTTCTATATGGATCAGCCTTGTGTGGTTCTCTTCGTGGATTAAATGGGGTAATGTGAGAATTCATTTTAAAGATGTTTTAAAGATGTCACAGCAATCTCGCCAGAGCCTGAAAAAATGTGATGAATTAACCGAAATAAACTTGAAATTAATATGACGTTCGGCCATACCAGTTTGCAAGGCGCAACATTGTCGGAGTACAGAGTTTGGGGCTTGCCCATAGAGCCATGGGCCGGCTGAGAGCGGCAAGAAACGCTTCCTTGGTTAAGCTCACGAGCTTGACGAGTTTATCACGACAAACTCCAGCTTGTTGTCTACAACTGTAGAGCTGAGCCCTTTCCATAACACGCTAATACGTGATGCAACATCGACACACTGTAAGTACAGTCGGTCACTTACTTACGGTCGAGTCACTTGGGAATTTTCATGATTATGTTGTGTTGGAATATGACATTCCGAACGTAATAAGCGTTGTACAAACATCTGCTGTACAAATAATCTGTTCCGTTCAATAGCACAACACACTTGTAATTTGAGTATTTCAAACGAAATATCCAACTTCGATTCAATTTTAAACTAACGTTTCTTTTTTTTTATAAAACTAGTAGTGTTATACCTGACGAGGTTATCATCGCCCCTGTCGCCATTGACGAAGCGTTTAGTATCAAATCTAAACAACTAACTGAGAACTCTCGATAAGGCTCGATTTGTTCACCACTAGTCCTTGTTTCTACCTGGAACCAGTAACGTAATACCAAGCCAGAAAATAGCTAAAGCGTGTATGATAAGTGATGTTAAAGTCAAAGATCATTTATTCCATTGGTAAAATAAATTTACACTTGAAAACGTCACATTTACAGTACATTACATTAAGCTACTGCTCGTTCACTACCATCGAGTATATAACCAGAAATAGAGACGAAATAAGGGCCATATATTCCTGGTAACACATTAGCGATACAGTTCTTATAAATATCAACTATAGTTTGCACTGAAATATAGACAGGCCAACTACTGACCTGTGTGTACGTCTCCGTATATTCCAAAAAATATTCTGTATTTATTTAGATATACTGTGATAAAGATAATATATCTGACAATGGGGGGCTGTTTCATTCGGTACTGTGGGAAAAACAGCTAAACATCTAGTTACAAAACAAACGGAATCACTTTTCATCGGTAATTAAATATTAAATATATAATTTTGCAATTTGCGTCCATTATAGCAAAGCTCAAGTTAACTGATCGATTTGAAGTAAAAAAATTGACGACACCCGTCAATTATTTCGAACTCGGGCTGGCCAATCGGAGCGCAGTTGTCACAGTAATGATATGGCAGAATAGTTTTCAAACAAATTAAATGACAATTCGTCTCTATTTCTGGTTATTTACTCGATGTTCACTACGCTGACTTCCCTGAAAAGAACAAGCACGAAACTCTAGGGATTGCTCTTTTTGAACAAACTTAAATGCTATGGAATACACTTTGAATCAAATTTGTGTGGATTCTGGAGCCGTGCCGTTTTTCCATACATCTTTATCTAACACGTAGTCTTCAATTTTGTAATATGACTTTTCAATCAAAATATTTTAATGTAGTTTTTAAAGTTAGGAAATGATAATCTTAATATATTCTCCGGAATCTTATTGTAAAAACAGTTCCCCATAAAAGAGTTGTTTACCTTGGTTAAACGAAATCGTGGTACCATGAGTTTGGACTTAGCTCTAAGGTTAATATTATGGATATCATCTTTCTTATTGAAATTATGTATATTTTTACGAGCAAATAAAATATTTTGGTAAATATACTGTGATGCCACAGTCATGATACCAGTCTCCTTAAACTCTTCTCTG